AGCATTCGTCACACCGAAAGGCATTACTAGATACTCATAATGCCCATATCGATTCCTAAATGTTGTCTTGGGTACATCCTCCCCCTTAACTCTAATCTGATGATACCCTGATCTAAGGTCAATTTTACTAAATACACAAGCACCCACCAACTGGTCTATAAGATCATCTATCCTAGGCAATGGATACTTATTCTTAATGGTTACCTTATTCAATTGGCGATAATCTACACACAATCTCATGCTACCATCCTTCTTCTTAACTAAGAGTACGGGTGCTCCCCAAGGTGATACACTAGGCCTCACAAACCCCTTCTCCAACAAGTCTTCTATTTGTTTCTTAAGCTCCACTAACTCTACGGTTGACATCTTATAAGGTACAATAGAAATAGGTCTTGGTCCTGGGACTAGGGCTATGGGAAAATCTTCTTCTCTTGTAGGTGGTAAGCTAGACATGTCATCAGCAAAGACATCCAAAAAGTCACACACAACAGGCAGTTCATTCACCAAAATATTACTCTCAGAATTCAAAGAAGCTAACAACATGTATACTTAAGCATCCTCTTGCAAAGATGTCGTAACTTGGTTGGTAGTCAAATAGTCCTTACTCACCTTTTCAATAGGCTCACCAAAAATAATAGATTTATCAGCACAATTCAAAAGGACATGATTGGAAGATAACCAGTCCATACCTAGAATAACATCTAGCTGACTTAGAGGCAAACAAATTAAGTCAACCATGAAATTTCTACCATCAATACTCAAAGGACACTTTAAACAGACATCAGAAATAGAAACTGAACCACTAGTTGGTTTCTCTACTATTAATTCAAAAGACAAGGAAGAAATAGGTAATTTTAACTTGGACATACACGCATGTGATATGAAAGAGTGAGTCGCACCAGAGTCATACAAAACAATTAGAGGAGTCCCATTAATGAAACACATACCCTGGATTAAGTCTTCGGATTGATTAGCTTCAGCACCACTCAAGGAAAACACCCTTCCTGTCGCTCTAGGTTTACTAGCTCCCTCCAACCTCTGTTGTTCCTTTCTTGTTATTGGGGCATTCATTAGCTCTGTGTCCCTTCTATTGACAGTTGTAACATGTTATTGCTCTTGGTATCCGACACTCAATTGCCCTATGCCCTGGCTTCCCACAGTTGAATTAGTTGTTGTGTGGAACAGAGCCCACACTCCCTCCTCTAGAAATTTGGTTAGCTTGGCTCCTTTGTTGCACAGAATCTTGATTATTCACTTTAGAACTCGAATTCCCGACAGACTTGGTGTAAGGGTTATCGTTACCAGATGACCCAAACTTATTATGATTCCTCATGTGTCCTCCACTGTTATAATGAGTTACTCTAGCACAGTTGTCCTCATCATAGAATCGGCACTTGTTCACCAGTTCATGATATTGAGTGATGATCCCTTGGTAATTGAAAACTTGTTTTATCTCAAGGAAAAGACCACTCACAAACTTCACACATTTGTCCTCCTCATTGCCCAAACCATCATGCATAGAAAAAAATCTAACCAAGTCTTCAAACTTAGTCACATACTCAGCCACAGAATCATATCCTTGCTTCAACTTAAGGAATTCCACCTGTTTCTTATGTCTCACATCTCGGGGAAAGTATTTCTCCAAGAATAGCCCCTTGAAATTCTCCCAGTTCACTTGGGTACCTGCAGCTATCATTCTTTGCAAAGCACCTTGCCACTAGATGCCAGCCTCTCCAAAAAGCATGAAGGCAGCCAAAGTCACCTTCTGCACCAGAAGACATCCCATAGCTTGGAATATATTTTCAATCTCAAATATCCGGTCAACAGCTCCATCAAGATTATAACCCCCACGGAAGCTAGGTGGATTATTTCGCTGGAATCTCTCAAACCAATCTATCTTTGGTCGTTGATTCAAATTACCAAGAGCCTGAGCCATCGCTTGAAGAGCATCAGC